ACGACAGCGACAACGACGACGACGACGACGACGACGGCAACCACGACGACGACGACGACGACGACGACGACGACGACGACGACGACGACGACGACGACGGCAACCACGACAACGACGACGACGACGACGACGACAGCAACCACGACGACGACGACGACGACCACGACGACGACGACCACGACAACGATGCGCAAAAACTGCCCGACTTTCTTCGCGCCCTCGCGCCACCCCCTCGAACTGGGGCAACCGCTTGGGCCCGGACCGCGGCACGCGAAGCGCGATCCTGGAAGGGGGGGCCTACTCTGGACGGGGCAATGATCGCCCCCTCTGCTCTCGATCCGCTGGGGGGGTTGGGCACGTGCCGTCGGAACGGGCGAAAGGGGGACTGCAAGAGGAGGAGGAGGAGGAGGAGGACGAGAAGGAGGTGGAGGAGGAGGAGGAAGAGGAGGAGAAGGAGGAGGAGGAGGCATCGAGGTATCGAGTGCCAGGAGCGCGGCCTACTTGCCCGACTGCGCCCCGAACATGAACGAAAAACGATTGTGTAGTCCCTCTAGGATATTCGCGAAAGACCTCCTCCTCACGCTAACATACCGCGCGCAGCTTAGGCCTCAGACGATGAGCACAATAGGACCCACAAGCAATACAGAAAATGCACGGCCCCACCTGCTCCATCGAGTGCCCCAGAACAGTGAAACACTCAAAACTACTCCCCCTCCCCCTCGGGCCCCAGACCCTGTGGCTCAATCCCAGGGGCGACACCAGGACCAGGGCCGAAGGCAACCGCAGGACCAGGCCCAGGATCCAGGAAAGCACTCGCACCAGAGACCGCCACCTGGATAGCCTCGGGCCTGGCCAGAGGGGTGGCAGAGGTATAAAACCCGTCAAGGCCAAACGCCAGCCGGGCTCTCTCCCTCTGCAAAGGGGAAGGATCACCCGCACGCGCGCTGCCCATGGTTAACAACCTTCTCGTCTTCTCAGTCTTAGCCCTGCCCAGCACAAACGACAGGACCATCACACAACCGCGCATGTGGAACTCATGTTCCTGAAATCTTATTTCAAAAACCAAAAAGGAACACCCCCGCCTACGAGACGCCTACGGCATCCAACAGCTCGCCCACAATATCCTTATGGGCAGCGTTCTGGGCCACTGCCCACCCCAAGAAACTGGCATTGCCACTCGAGGTCGACAACGGATCAGGCCAGGAATCCACCAGGGCGTCAGCGACTTCATGAGAGGCCGAGCCTAGTTCAGCAAAGATACCCGACCGATCCCGATCGTTACCAAACCACCACAACGCTGGCCACTCGCCACGAAGGAGGGACTCATCGAGCGCGAGGTGCGCTGGCACCCACTCGAACGCTGGAGGCCTCTGGGAGGGGCGGCTCCGAACAATGCCAAACATCTGCCTCCAAATCTCAGCGTGGGTGGTCGTAGCCGAGGCGCGCGCCTCAGACCAGTCGGCCCCCTCACGCACGGCCCCCAGGAGATCCGAAACAGCCGCGCGAAGACCAGGAAACAGCTGAAGCCAAAGCAGCAATGCATGTCTCTCAGAGCAGCCAACGGACTGTACAGGGCCTGGGAAGGGGCCGCATGCGGATCTTAAAAGGGAGGCCTCCATCACCGATCTGGACAGCAGCCCACCCGCAACGCCTAAACTCGGGCCAGGCACTATGCATGCCCGACCCGTGAAAGAAAGCAGCGGGCCCCCACGAGGCCGAGCTCCAGCCATCCCAGAAGTACGTGGGAGGGCTCCAGACAGGAGGGGGGATCCTGGGAGGAGCCTGAGGGATCTCAATACAAAACTTAAGCATGTGAGAACTACTGCGCCCCCCTGAAATTGCCAGCATCCTCGGGCAGACGACCACGCGTGTTTTCCAGCTCCTCGGACCAAGTAGGCAATCCACTGGCATCGTCCTGCCCGAGCAGGTTCGGGCACCCGTAAGGCATGTGGCCCAGGTCCCCGATGCCTTGTCAAGCTCGACATTCAGAATGAAGACAGAGCGGAGAGGGAAGCCAACCTTGTCGGTGCCTTTTTTCCCCCACGGTCCTGAACCCACCCGACCACAGACACCGAATAGCTCCAGCAACCTGCGCTGGCGTGATGGTAGCCACCTTGCCCCCACTGTCAACGTCGAGGTGATCAGCGTGATGCTCCAGGATGCGACGACCCTGCCACCGCTGCACCCCTAGACGCAGAAGCTCCCGAACGTCCTCAGGGGGGGGGGGGGGCGTCTGAAGGAGCGATATGGCAAGGTTCTCGTCGCTGAGGATGGCCGCGCTGCTCAGCATGTCCCAGCCCACGCGCCGAAGCGACAGCCAAGTAGCAGCGATGGGACCTCGAACCCCCTGCCACCCAGGAGATCGATCTTGCGAAACATCGCGAAGCACACGCCACGCACGCTCCAACCACCCCATCTCCAGGCGCTGCTCGAACACGAAGCAAGCGTACATGTAGGCCATGTTGTGCGTCGCGTCGAAGATGGGATCCATCTAAGGATCCTTTTGGGTGGCCAGATACGCAGGAATACCCACGCCTTTGGAAAGCACCCCTGCAAGCACCCCTGCAGTCTGCCGTAACTTCTTCAGGTCACAATCAGGAACGCCAGGCACCGAACTGCCATGCGCAACACCTGCCAACAATCCAATGCGCCAGATGGCCCCGACCTTGGAAACGGATATGGCCTGGAGCAGCTTGACACGTCCCATGCGCTTCTGCAGCTTGGCTTGCCTGCCCTTGTCCACGGTGCGAATGGCTCTGCCGCCCACCATGTCATGTCCAAGGTTGCGCATCTGATCCCCCCGTGACAACCGAAGGAGTCGGGGCCATGACGAAAACTGTTTCAGCGCCTCCCTGGTAGTGCCAACGTATCCTGACTTGACAGGCTGCACCAAAAGACCAAGCCTGCGCATTCCGCTCTTGAACTCCCGCGTAGCCTTGACCAGCTCAGCGCTCTCCTTGAAGTCCTTATCGATCCACTACAAGGTCCCATCGTCGACGAGAGCACGAGGAAACACCGTAGGGCAAAGCTCCTGCACCTGCACTGAGGTGCGAACCATGAGCACGGTAAGGAGAGTCGTGGCATGGATGCAGCCAGGCAGTATGCCCTGTCCCACCTCACGTAGATTGGAGATGGGCCCAAAACCTTTGACAGCACGAGGCATGTTGTATGAGAGGGCTAGCTCCCACAACAGCCTCAACGCGAAACCCACACTTTGCGCCTCCTGGAAGAGAACACTCACCTCCACCGTGTCAAAGCATTGCCACATGTCCATCATGACAGTGAGCGAATGCTCGCCCAGCAGCTTAGACATCTCGGCCATCGCATTGTGTATGAAGGCCGACCTAAACGATGTGTAACCTCTCCTGTTGCCCCACACCATCTCAGAAGGGTATGTGCGAAGCCATGCCCGTGACAGTGGCCGCCTGACCCTAGCCCAAAGCCTGACCAAAGTGTGAATCAAAGCAACCAATCGCGTCCCACCTCCATCCTTCGGGATCCTGGCCATCTCGGAATGTATACGTTGGGCTGGCCACGAAAGAAGAAACTCGCATCTCATGAAGCAGCCAGCCATAGAGCGGAGAGCCTCGGACGATAGGAACAAAAGTGTTAGAGGCTGAAGCTTAGACGGTCCCGCTGCCGTCTTCAACTTGAATGTCAAGATCGCATCTCTCATCATGTCCACAGCAGTGTACGGCAGCTCCTCCCAGTCAGCAGGGAGGGGAAGGAGGAGGAGGGGGAGGAGGAGGAGGACGAGGAGGAGGAGGAGGAGGAGGAGGAGGAGAGAAGAAGAAGAAGAAGAAGGAGGAGTTGGAGGAGGAGGAGGGGAAGGGGGAGGAGGAGGAGAGGAGGAGGAGGAGGAGGAGGAGGAGGTGGGAGGAGGAGGAGGTGGAGGGAGGGGGAGGGGGAGGGGGAGGGGAGAGAGGAGAAGGAGGGGAGGAGGAGGAGGAGGGAGGAGAGGAGGAGGAGGAGGAGGAGGGAGGAGGAGGAGGAGGGAAGGAGGAGAGGAGGAGGGAGGAGGAGGAGGAGAAGAAGGAAGAGGAGGAGGAGGAGGAGGAGGACGAGGAGGAGGAGGGGAACGAGGAGGAGGAGGAGGAAGGAGGAGGAAGGAGGAGGAGGAGGAGCAGGAGGAGGAGGAGGTGGCGGAGGGGGAGGGATGGAAGGTTCGTCGCCCACTCCTCGACTAATATCCCGCCCAGAGTAGGGTAAAAGGGCCCAGGGAAACACAAAAAAATAGTTCCCCATATTTTCCTGTATTTTCTTACAGGTTCCCCATATGCTCTGTTTTATGGGTTTTCGTCTTCCCCCCCTTCCCAAATTTCCCCATCGATTCGTGGGGTCGACGATTGTTTCTGTCTGTGAATTTTTTGTCGCCTCCTGATAGGGATCGGGCCGCGTGGGCACGGAAACGGAATCGAATGGGACCGGCCGCATCGGGCTGCACGACAGGGCCCATGCGAACGTCGGGCCGCACCAAATCGTCGGAGCATCGGAATCGGATCTCGGATCGGGTCGGATCGGGCGGGCCAGAATCGGGGAGACGTAAGACTCGGGTACGGGGGACTCGGGTTGGCCCGACGGGGCCATCATAAAAATGACGATGGCCCAATCTGAAATTTGACGCGAGCTCCCGCTGCAAGACCGTCAAAATCCAGGACGCGCTCGTCAAAAAAACGTCGGCAAACCCGAGTTCCGGCTTACTCGGGTCTTGCGTTTCCCCGACAGAACCGGCATCGAAGTAGATCGAAATAGGCCCTGACCTGTTTTCGGGCCGTAACTCGGGTCTCCAGCGGCCGCTCGGGACGGTGCGGGCACCCCCACACACAAAGCTCTCGGCAGAGACGCCACTGCCTGAACGCATCCCGCGGCAAGAGAAACCTCCAGGAACCCCCGAAGACGTGCGGAAACAGTGCCCTGAACGTCCGCAGACTCGAATCGACATGGACCCTGCCCGGGGGCCACGGGTCCTGGCGCCCTTGGAGTTCAGGAACTCCGAGCTCTTGTAGGCCTTCTCGGGCTTCGGCCCCAGCTCGACCTCCGCTGCGTCGCTGCCCGCCTGAGGAGGGCATCAGTCGTCGTCGTCGTCGCCGTCTTCGCTCTCGCCACCACCGACGGCATCACCACCGTCATCGTCGCGCCGCCGTCATCGACAGCAGCATCGACGTCATCACCACCATCCTTATCGCGAATGGCCTGGTCGTGAACGTCGTTGTCACCAGATTCGACATCATCAAAGTCATTCACTGCCGCCGCCGTCGCCACCATCATCGTCATCATCACATAGCCATCATCAGCAGCAGCATCACAATGTCACTGTCGTCATCTTCACTATCATTCACCACATGCATACACCATCAACAACATCATCGCCAGCATCGCCATAAACAGCATCATCCACATCAGCACAGCCATCCCCATCCAAATTCGTCATCGCGGCGGAGGCGAAATTGGCTGCGTGCGTACCCCCCCCCGTCCCTGCGGGTCCCAAGACTATACACCACCACCACCACCACTACCCTCCTCTGCCTCTCCTCTTTACTGGGAGAGGGAGGGGGTGGAGGGAGGAGGTGGTGGTGGTGTATATTATTGAGCCCTGTAGTCCTCCCCTTTCGCCCGACCCGAGCCTCGGAAGGCCAGCTGAGACAGCGGCGGCTCTGCAGCCCGGCCCGAGTCCATTCGAAGCCGGTCCCCCCGACCCTTCCCAGAGCCCGGTTGTCCCCGGCAGTGTCGTGCGATGGTGATTGCTGCTGCCGTCGTGCGCTGCCCTGTTCGAGGGCAGCGCTGCCGTGTGGCTGTTGCTGCTGCCTTCTCCCTCGCCATCGCTCGGACGTCCATTCCCTGTGCTTTTTTCGGTTTCGTGCGTGGCTTTTTCGCCAAATGATCAAGGATGCTCCTCGATGGTCCTCGCCGAAGGAAAAATGCACACGTCCGAGCGACGCCAAGCTCCACTCTGACCCGTCTTTCGAGGCGGGCGCAGCCCTGGCGACGAGCAGCCTCCAAGAACCTCCGCCTGCCCCTCCCAGCAGTGAAAGAGCATCAGCATGGGGCGACACGGGCCCTGGGCCCCGGGGCCTCCCCCCGGGACGAACTCTGCCTCCCGAGCCGTCTCCTGACAGCCCTGGGGCCCCGTGGGGAGGGCCCCGAGAGCCCGAGGACGGCGAGAAGCCTCGGCACCCGCTGCCCTCGGGACCCGCCTCCCCCGCGGCGGGTGCCCCCCGCCAACGGCAACGAAGCGCGCCAGGGCCGCTGGCGCCTCCCCCGGCCCTCCTGACCCAGGCGCCCGACGCCCTGCTCTGTCCCAGCGCGGGGACTCCGGATGCCTCCCAACCCGCTCGGCTGCACGCAGGAGCGACCCCAGGCAAGAGCGACCTCTGGTGCGCCGCTTCACGGGGAACGCGGGGGGCGTAGGAGGAGGGGGAGGAGGAGGAGGAGGAGGAGGAGGAGGAGGAGGAGGAGGAGGAGGAGGAGGAGGAGGAGGAGGAGGAGGAGGAGGAGGAGGGAGGGGAGGAGGAGGAGGAGGAGGAGGAGGAGGAGGAGGAGGAGGGAGGAGGAGGAGGAGGAGGAGGAGGAGGAGGAGGAGGAGGAGGAGGAGGAGGAGGAGGAGGAGGAGGAGGAGGAGGAGCAGAAGGAGGAGGAGGAGGAGGAGGAGGAGGAGGAGGAGCAGAAGGAGGGGGCCAAGCCTGGGCGCGCAGGCTGCGGCTATCGCATCGCATTCTGCGATCGGGAGGACCCCGGTGGGCCCGCACCAGCGGTCACTCCAACGGAAGGAGGTCACTCTTGCGCCTAGTCGACCCTTTCCCCGGGGCCTCGGGTGCGACGATGGGGGCGAATAGCCCACAGGGGAGAGCACTACATGTATCCAGGGGGCGGATGGTCCATGCCTTCGGCGAGGCTCCCCGGCGAAAACGTGCAAGGGCCGCCCTACACGGTTTCCCCCAGGGCCGCAGGCGAACCGAAGAGGAGGAGGAGGAGGAGGAGGAGGAGGAGGAGGAAGAGGAGGAGGAGGAGGAGGAGGAGGAGGAGGAGGAGGAGGAGGAGGAGGAGGAGGGGAAGGGGGAGGGGGAGGGGGAGGGGGAGGGGAAGGGGGAGGGGCAAGGGTAGGAGGAGGAGGAGGAGGAGGAGGAGGAGGAGGACGGGTCGCGTAAGCACTTCGGAGAAAATCTCCAAGCCGCCCCTGGGCTATCCGCCCGCATCGTCGCCTCCGACCCAGGGCCGGATGCTCACCCCGAGTCGTTCCTGACGGCCCAGGGGCCTAGCGAGAGCCCCCGGAAGCCAGAAACGGCAAGAAGGCTCCCGTCGTGATTTGTCACTGCGCGAGCGTGACTGGATCCGACCTGCCGCCGATGCTGTCGCCACCGAGAGCCGTCGTCAGCGCCCGCCGAAGTGCTCATCTCTTCGCAGGGGCGCTTCGTGCCTGTCGCCTGGGAGGCCTGGGAGGGAGCTGCGAGCATCGCCGCGGCCATGCTTGAAACGGATTGGGGCCCAGGGGGGAGAGAAGGGATGAGACTCCAGCCAAAAAAAGCACTGCGCAGGTCGGTGGCGGCGCGACGCCGATGGAGGGAGGGCCGATGGTGGTGATGCTTATCGCTACGTGGACGGAGGAGACGATCATGAAGATCACAACGACGAGTACGAGTACGATGGCTGTGACAGCCCATGGACCGACGCCCTCGTGCCCGCGAGCCCGCGGGTGTGTGAACGGAGTGCTGAGATTGTATCTTTGCGGGGACAGCCGCCTTGCAATCCGGAACACCCCTCAGACCAAACCGTAAGCTGTGTCGTTTCTCCCTGCGCGCGCACGTCGTGTTGGTTCGGGCCTCCTCTCGAAGTCCGAAGGCTCGAACCACTTCCCTAGGGCCGGTTTTTCGTCCTGAGTCGTCTTCTGACAGCGCAGCTGCAGCACAAGCAGAACTCCGATGGCAACAGGCCGGCAGGCCCGATCACAGGACCACCCCATGAGGGCACCGGGCAGTGCCAGCGGGGGGCCGCCGCCTCCTCGGGACAGCACCACCCTTTAGGTCGGGCGTACTCCCCTACAGGCGGACTCTGGACAAAGAGCGAAGAAAGCACGCAAAAAAGATTTGGAAATGGCCAAGGATAGTCAAGACATCGTCCCCCGACTACTTTTGTTTTTCCTGCTCTGGAATATTCCTCCTGCAGAGGGACAGGCCCGACTTCCTGCCAGCGGGGGGCCGCCACCTCCTCGGGACAGCACCACCTCGTCGAGGCAGCGGGGCCCTGCGAACGAACCCTCCAGAGCCCCTCCTCCCCCCCCCCCTGAGCGGGCACCACGACCTCCGCTCCCCCACCCTCCCTCCCTCCCTCCCTCCCCCCCTCCCCCCCCCTCCCTCCTCTCCTGGGAGAGGGAGGGGGCGAGGAAGGCGGCGGTGGTGCGTGCATCTGTCTGGGCCCCGTCTCCTCCAGCCTCCGCCCAGGAAGCCCGCCGTCCGGGAGGAGCAGGCGACAACCCCCTAGTCGGTGGTGGAAGGGGCCCAGGGACACAAGAACAAAGTCACACACAAGCCCCAGAACTGTCCACATCTTCCCACACTTTCTGGAGCTTCGTCTTCCCCCCAGTCCCCATGTTTGCCCACACTTTCCTGGGAGCCGCCGACACAAGCCTTGTGTCTGTGCGTTCTCCCCCTCCCGAGTGGTCACCCCCCCTGAGCACTCCCCGAGGATAAGCACTCGCCTGGTCGGCGTCGCCGGGCTGGAGACGGGGGGCGCTCGACTCTCTGGGCGGGCGTCCTTACGAGAACGGCGACCATGCACCACATCACCACGTCTGGACCAGCTTCGGGCCCCGCTCCGGCGAGGCACGGTGCACAGTTCTTCGGCTCTGAGGGCCGAGAAAAGCCATGCACCGTGCAACTCCCAGGTCGAGGATCGACGACGCATCGGGGGACACCAACGCGGTGCGGTGCGCACAAAGCCGTCCGCGGACTTCCCCTGCCCTGATGGTGGGAAGTTCGGGGCCAAATCACGGCCAGCAGAAATGGGCCTCGCCTCTGAAGACGACAACCGAGCAGCACGGGACGATTCTTACGAAGACGAACGTGGCGACAAGGGCAACGAAATAAAGTCGGGGGATGCTGGAGGTTGCCCTGGCCCAAAGTGACCGTCCCCAGCTTTGCGCGCCGTTTTGGAGCCCCTGGGGCCCTCTGAGCATCGCGAGGGGCGACCCGGAGGCCATCTGGGCCTCCTCGAGAATCCTGGGGATACTTTGGGCCAGGGACATCTTTGGCAACACCCGACAGAAGGAGGAGGCAGAAGGAGGAGAAGGATGAGACTGATCCTCCTCATGTTGCTGCTGTTCTCGACCTGGAAAGCGACGTGGCGCCCAGCGAAGCGCCCGCTGGCGCCACGCCGCAGAGCTTCCTTCTGACGTTAGGCAAACTTGGATCGACTGAAATCGTAGCGTCTGCGCACAGTTCCTCCTCCTCATCGTCCTCTTCCTCCTCCTGATCCTCCTCTTCCTCTTCCCCCTCCGCCGCCTCCTCCTCCCTTCCTCCTCCTCTTCCTCCTCCTCCTCATCATCATCATCATCAGCAGCAGCATCATCCTTCTTCCTCTTTCTCGTCCTCCTCCTCCTCTTCCTCCATATCCTCTGCATGATCATCTTCTTCGTCAGCATCATCATCATCATGAGCAGCATCATCATCATCAGCAGCAGCATCAGCATCAGCATCAGCATGATCATGATCATCATCATCATCATCATCATCATCATCATCCTCTTCATCATCATCATCATCATCATCATCATCATCATCATCATCATCATCATCATCACCATCACCATCATCATCACCACCATCATCAGATTCCTCACCACCACCACCATCATCATCATCAACATCATCATCAAAAGCATCACCATCATATCATCATCCCTCAACATCATCCTCCTCCCTCCTCGTACTCCGCCTCCTATTCCTCCTTATCCTCCTCCTTATCCTTACTCCGCATCATCATCCTCGTTCTCCTCTTCCTTTTTCTC